AAACCCTCCATGTGTGTGACATGGAGATCATTTTTAGAAGTACCTTGGGTTTTTCACTGACAGACCAGAATGGACTAACAACACAGAGACAGTCTAAAAGAAAGACCAGCGCTTCAGGTCCTTCAGTGTAGTAAGTCCTTGTGTTCAGTTTGGCCTTTCATTAATTACCAATGGCTCAGACAGAATCAAAAGTGATCACACTACTGTTTAGTAGGAGTCTTAAGGTAGGGCATTAAGTGAGATCAATCCTTTGAAGGTTTTTAGCTTGACAGACACATTTACATGCTGTCAACAAATAATGAGAACGACAGACCCTGAGACGGCACAGGCCCTCTGCATAATACACACCCGCTCTCCACAAAACTCAATATTTTCCATATGGAGAAAAAATGCAGGTGAGGGAGCTGTAGCTGGGTGGACCAGACCATCCAGTGGGACTCTTACCTTTTCCCACAGACAGGCTGTAGGTGAAGGGAATTGGGTGCCTTATCAGTCCTAATGATTAGACAGCTGGAAGTTATTTTCCAGTTTCAGATTAGGCTCCCAAACCCCCACTGGACAATCCAGCCTTCACATGACAGATGGAGATGTTCTGACATGCATTACGATCTGATATGAATGCATTTTACATCAATGCCATGATTTTACCCCTGGTTATCTCTGGGCCTATGATTTTAACCATGCCATGGCTGTTCATCAGTCTCACAAGGCTGTCCTAATAAATCATTGGACTTGGTGAGAGCATCCAGGATGGAAGTCTTGATCGATGGACTCTGTTGCTTCATTGTGATTGTGGAAGTAAGGATGAAAGCCTGAGCGCAATAAATTCTCATCTTTATCAGGACCTGATGATATTATATAGAAGTCCTCCTCTATTGTTCGAGATGTCTTTGTAGTAATCGAAAAATGTGGGATCACTTTCAGCTGATGAATGATAAAAACATTAACATCTAATCAGAATACATCAGACTTTAAAGAGCTCGAGCATTTATAGCAATTGGAATAAAAAGAACACTATTATGTGTTGGTGTGGATTCTAGTATAGTTATTGTTATAGTTATCATTATTAGTGTGAACAGCCCTTTATCCTTTAAACTCGCATTTAAGTCTTGTTTTGGATTCATGTAGGACCTCATGGGAGACAGTGGTCTGATATCTTTTGGCCTTCGCACTGTTTTTTACTCTCTCAACACTCCAGTTCCTTTCTCTCCAGACCTGGTCTGGGTGCTGAAAGCCTCCAGGCTGCAAATCCAGCATTCAGCACAGATGCAATACGTCAACAGGGTGATGCATGTCTCTGCTGATACACCAGACGTCTTTACATGAACCAGAAAACGTGCTATCTGATGAAGGCTTGACTTCATTTGCTTTCTCTGTGACCCAGTTTTCGGCTTCAGCTTCGATGTGCTCACTAACAAAAGAAAGAGATACAAAATCACAAAATAATCGAAGAATTCTCCAAATGCTATGTTTCGTCATCGTGGAGCTCCAGAAAGACTTGCTGCAGATCCGACACTGCCGTCGGGGAGTAAGACTCTCAGTGTTTCTAATGACAGGACTTTGACTGCTACAGATTGGCCCAGGCAAACGTTTCAAAGCTGCTGTGGGACTCCTGTGGCAGGCAGCTTTGCCTCTCGGACCCTTACTTTTTGAACTAGTCATCCGTCATGAGTCAGCCGCATTTCACTACATCTTAATAAAGTAATCCCCCTCTCGTTTTTCTCCCCTTTGGAATGCTCTTGTTCTTTCTATTTCTCTTTGCTCATTCAGGCCTCTGACAATGATTTGTTTTCTTTTCAGATTCTGGGCTGAGTAGGGCCGTAGTTTATCATTACTCCAACTTCCCTCTATATCTTTTTTTTTTTTGTGTAAATCTTTGGTTTGCTGGCCCCCTTTACAGTTCAGAACATTTATGTGAACATCATCATCATTACTGTAGAACTCCAGTACCAATTATCTCTACATATAAACACACACACCTATATACAAAGTAACGCAAACGGCAAATGAAAATGAAACGTTTTCAGGATAAATAACCAGCGGGCAAATATTGCAGAGGATTATGCTTAATAAATCGAGAGAAGAAGCATAAATCATGATCATGATTGAAATATGATTTATCATGCAACTCTTAAGTTTCCATAATTAATTCTGTTATTTTCCTGTTTACCACTGTGAAGCTGTTTTAACACAATCTCTACTGTATAAAGCGCTATAAAAATAAAGGTGATTGACCTATACAGAACAGCCCTGTTGATTAGGCTGTTGATAGAACTAACAAAAGCTAATAAGCTTTTAATCATTAACTTCAAATGACCAAATATAAGCCAATTGTTTTTTTCATGTCAGTCTATCAATAATACATTGGCATTTTTTTCCTCCTGTTCTTTATAACGCTTAATTCTCTTCGCTAGGATTATTAAAGTCTACAAAGGCTCATCACATAATTAATGGCTCTAACCCTCACCACTTAAACCCTGACGGCTAGTCCAGTGAACCTGCCTTTGAAAAACATAGCCTGTCTTAAAACATTTTTCAGAAACCTACGGTATAATCCATCTTGAGTCACACATGCATGTTTGGCTGATCGGAAGATGCGTGGGGGGGCGCGCTCATAAATCAGCCATTAAGCAGTAGGGACGAGGCAGGGAGGCTACAGGGTTAATGAATTTCTCCGGCTGGTTAGGGGTTGCTCGGGGTCCCGGCGAGGGATAAGACTGGATGCGTAGGAGCAGGTTGTCCAGAGAGGCCCCATCAGTCAGATCAAAGGTGTCTGCAGGGAAGGTCACCGGTTTCGGCCAAAGACCTGTCCTGAATGAGAGAGAGGCAAACGACTGATAAACACTAATAAACAGTTGTGAGAGCTGCGATTCTGTTCATGACTCACCTATAAACTTCATATATGCACGGTCATTGTTTGGAATTCTTGAATCACTATGGACAAAAGAAAAACTGGTAATACATTAGTTAATGCATTAGCTAACATGAACTAACAATGAGCAATACATTTTTTTAAAGTATTTATTGATCTTTGGTAATGTTAGTAAAAGTATAATTGTTCATCATTTGTTCATGTTAGTTCACAGTACATTAATGTTAAAAAATACAATGTTGATTTATATTGTATTTAATGCAATTTTATTTGTAAATCTTGAAATGAACATTGACTATATTAATAAATGCTGTAGACGTATTGTTCATTATTGGTTCATGTTAATTAATGTGGTAATAAAACCTTACTGTAAAGTGTCACCGGAAATCTAGCGCTTGATTTGAGTGGAATCAATGTTTTTCTTCTAGCTAAAAAAAAAAAAAAAACCTTGTGTAGGATTGTTGTTATGGTTTTTTTTAATCAGATATTTTTTACTTTGAGGCAGTTCTTTCCTTCCCAAAGAATGCTCCCCCCCCATTATTACACTCTATCATTTTAGCCTAATCCTACTGTTTTATAAAATCAAAACAAGCACACCTTTGTCTTTTTGCCCTGAATGCATGTGTGTCATTTTTCAGATGAAGAGTTTTTTCATCAGCTTTTCTGCCACTAAAGGTCAATGGTTAACTCCATTTTGGCTCAGAATGGACTGTTTTCTTAAGGGTGACATGTTGAAGATTTAGAGATAAGCCTCAGTGCAAGGGATGTAATTGTTGGTTAAACCCCCTTTAATCCAAAGGATTTTCTATACAACTGCTAATTTGTCAAGACCATCATTAATATCTGATAAAAAATACAAGACATTCCTCAACCAAATAGATGCTTCAACAGTGAAAAAGATTGTTGTAGTTGAATGGATGTGCTTTAACTTCTAGGATAACACTATAATGTTTGTTTTGATGTAATAGTTAAGGTTAGGATTAGTTTTTTTTTTTATTGTCAGTTATTTAAATGGTCTACTATCACTCCACCAGGTCTGAAAATTCATTCCTCAAATCCATTGAGGTTATTCATGGAGTTAAGCGTTAATAGGCTTATGGTATGGCATTGTATCATGGCATGGATTTATACCACAGTCAGTAGAGTTGCATTCAATACACTCATAATTCAAGGAAGAATATTTTACATTTATTCTGTTTTCTATGTACATTTTGTTGTATGTACAGCCAAGTAATTCATGTTTGTATGTTTTTGACAGTTATTTGTAGGCATTCAAAATTATAAACCAGATTGATTGTTTTTCTGCATTTTCCCTCTCTCTCTCTCTCTTATCTAAAAAGAAAGTTTGACTACCAAAGTCAAAGTAATGAAAAAAGTCAACCTAGCAAATGGCCTTTAAGGTAAAGTAACAAAGTTTTAAAATACAAGAAAAATAAATACTATCAACAGGAAAAATCTGCTTATTACAAGTGTCCAAAAATAAAGATCTCCTTACCAAAGTTTGATGCGATATTGTATCTCAGATGTTCTAGAATAACTCAATAGCATTTTTGAGTTATTAACTCTGTGATTGGTGCTCCGAGAAAGACGTTACTCATCCGTGTACAAACAGAGATACCGGGGCCAGTATGGCCATGATAACTAGCTTATAAGTACTATTAAACTATCAATCTGTTGTACTGTTAATTTGTATTGTGTGCTGTGCCACACAATTTCCAGCTAACATTTTTGTAAAAAAGTGCTCATTTATCCAATTATTTTTACAGACTTTTTGTATCATGGACCTACTGGTAATTCAGAGACATAAAGATGCATACATAATTTGTGAACACTGATTTAAGTGGAAAAAACTTGTAATACATCCCTGAAAAAAATCTGCGCCACCAAAATGCGTTAGTCTTGACTAGCTAAAAATCAGCACATAATCTGCTGTGATTTGAGAGACAAATGGTGCTCACTGACCAGATTCCCATACAGGTTTAAAGAAACCATCAAGCATAAAATCCCAAACATTTGTTCTATAACATATTGCCTCATACCTTCAAAGTACAAAGTCAAAAACAACTCAAATAATGAAATGAAAAAGTACTATAAAACTGGATTGGTTTCTTTCATTATTTTGTCATCCTTTTCTTTTTTTAATAAAAGGTTTGTCAATAAATTTGTTGGCAACCTTGTGCATTTGTCTTTGCATTGAAAGGGAAAAGTTCTTTGTCCCTGATATACAGTCAGTATCTTGCAAATGCATGTCTCATGTTACTGTCCTGCTCAAACACTGAGACATTCATTGCTGCCTCAGCCAGTTGAACTAGCCTCAAACTGTTTATGACACAAGTTGCCTATGCCACAAGCTCTCAAAGGCAGCTTAGATATAAAAAATATAAATATGCAAAAAAGCGCCTCTCCTCCATGTTGGGGCCTCTTATGCTGCTCGAGAGAATCCAGTTAGCTGCCCTCATTCCAGTCAGGCATAATGCTTACACTGTGTACGGCGTGGTACTGGTGCGGGGACAGGGTGCGGGGTATACTATGAGTGTACAAGTACTCGTTGCCCTGCAGGCCGGCAGTTGGTGACTGAATTCCCGCACTCGGACTGCACTGGCGGCCCAGCGACTGATGGGACATGGAACCCTGGTACATCGCATGGGTGTCACCCACCTGTGGTGAGGCGTGGCCTGCGACGCCGCTCAATCTGGACACGAGGGTTCCTGAGGTGAAGTGAGCTGAGAAGTGCTGGTAGGGCAGTCGCTCCATCTGCTGCATGGTCGTCACCGAGCAGCCGCCGTAAGGTGAGACGCCCGCCCAGGTGTTGCAGCTGATGTCTTCCAGGCTGGGCATGGGCTCGGTGGATTGCGATGCGCTGGCATACATGCAAGCCTGCCGCTGGCCAGACTCGGCCCTGTAGGGGGCGCCGTTAAGACCCAGAGACTGAGAGTAGCTAACGGGTCGATAGTAGTGATCGTCCTCACTGGATGAGCTTTCCACATAGGTCTTCTTGAATGAGTGCTCTCCTGTGTGACAGTCGTCCTCAACTGCACAGATCAAATGGGATGGAAATGAACTCAGTGGTTGAGCAGTGGTTCTCATCCACATGCCTGGAGCCCAACACTACACATTTTGCATGTCTCCTTTGTTTGACACACCCATTTCAGGTTTTGGAGTCTCTACTAATGAGCTGATGACCTGAATCAGGTGTGTTTGATTAAGGAAACATGCAGGCTCCAGGAGTATGGTTGAGAAGCACTGATCTAGAAATATCCCAACCGATAATTAACACTAAAAGGTAAAATTTCAAATGACATGATGGACCCACCTTTCCTCTTAATGCAGTGATAGTCTTGGCTGTGTTCATGGGGCAGCGGGTAAGAGCTTGACTGAGGCAGCAGATCCTGGGATGTGCTCGTGACCCCATTCTCACACGAGTACTGAGAGCTCATGGCGCTAGGAGTAGACAGACCTTGCACGTCACTGCCAAATGGACTCTGGCTGGTGCCAACCCGCTGACGCACAGTACTGCGAGGAACCACTGGATACTCCTTGGTGCTTTAGGGAACAGAACAGACTTCATGAGCCATTTCATGGCATACATTTACATGCTGTCTTTCAGTCAGGGATCTTGCAACCATTCCATTGGTAACTAACCACATCCACCATCGGCGCACACCACTGCGCCAGAATAATCTGTTCGCCATCTGTCTGCGACGGGGGCTTTTCCATGCCAATTAATCAATGAAAGTTGTAAGAGGCACTTTGCTTTAATTCCTACGCTATTTCTTTTGAACCACTGACCTGGTTTTCAGTTGGTCCGAGTTTAACTAAGACCAGACCTGCTTCGTCTCAGTGTTTGACAGTGGAGGACAGATAGGATATCAGGACCTTTGACTTCTACAGAGCACCATGGTGGAGTTTCTTTATTCTTTCTGTAGTTTTATGATGCATTACTCTTTTCAACGAATAGTGGTTCCTTGCTTGTACACCACCTTGGATTAAAGCTTCTGCTGAATGCATAAAGTCATGCTAATAGCAGTGCCGTGTAAACGATTCAGTAGGAGAATCGTACAGGCATTAGTTGGGTCTTAAAGTCTTCAGGTCATTATCTGGAAACTCAATAGAAGGCGCTCATGGGAGACATTAGTCAATTCTTTCTCTGCTTGTTTGAAAGTAACAACAGACAAAGTTAACTACGGCATGGAAAAAGCATTGCCATTTTTTCCTAGTGTATCAATGAAGTCTGTCATTTTGGAGTGGACAACGCCTGTGTTGGCTGCTGTGGGCCCTACGACCAGATTTTCTGCTTTGAAAATGTGTTTTTCCACACTCTATACTGCAGTCATCTGGAGAAAATAAGAACACGAGCCATGTGGTCTTTGCCTCCACTGGACCAACAATATCACAACTGCAGACAACTGTTCTGGATCTACACAGAACTGAAAGAGAGATATTGCCATGGTTGTAGGGCCAGTCAGATGAGAGTCAGCAACTCCGGGAGTGGATGGTTTTCAAGAGGAACACTCAAATAACAAGTGTCCCCTCAGTCAAGAGCACTGCCTTTGGGAAAGCAGCCGTCTCTGGTTTGTATCTGTGCTGGGTGAGCGTTTGTGCATTGATCAACACTGCCCTATTTAGTTTAGTTTTAATCTAACTGCCCATCAGACGACACTGGTCAAGTCTCCTGTCAGGCCTGATGTGAGCATATTTAGAGTGGCTGTGTGTAGGACACCTATATAAAGAGGGAGCTCCTAACCTGAGCTGTTAGGATGGCTGATAGGTTTGTTTATCACTATAATTAACTCTATGCAAGCTCTCGCTCATGTAAATGTCACTCTTCACAGACTCACCTCTGCATTCTTGACATGCGATGCAGCTCCATATCGTCACTTCCACGAAAGCCCTTTGCAAAGGGATTGTTCTCAATCTTCAGCTGGGTGATCTGTAAAACAGCCAACACACTAGTGTTACCTCGCTTCAGTGTTTGGTCTTCAGCACCTGTATTCACTGTTTAAATACTGCTGAAGTCTCTACATTCACTTAAAACAAACAGTGAGATTCTCAACCTGATTTGAACTCCAGATATCTTGTTATTAATGACATGAAAGCATGCTTTTGACATCTTAGAGCCCACAAGACATTGTTTTATTTCTAAATGATGCATCTTGGCAGAGTAAAAGAAAATTCAAAAGATGATGTATAGATGATTGGCTATTACCACCTTTTTACCGTTTGCAGTAATGCATTCATGAATTTGCACTGACCACTGTTCTGCACTGACCAACTGATTGCTTTGTAAGTTTCTGTGGGAATGAGGGAACCCACTGGAACAATCACTTCAGTCTTGTCTTTGAAACCATATCTAATAGAATATTTTATTGCACAATGTCTATAAAGGAGCATAATGAGCAGCTCTATGTGGAAATTTACAAATTATCCTAGTGGTTTTCTCTGCTTTGTCAGCAGATGATGAAAAGATGACATCTTGATGTACCCAGGTTGTGGTTTTTTGATGCTGCACTAATGTAGAAGCTGACATCTGTCAGTTTGGTTAAAGATTGGTGTAGAGTTTTGTCTTTACATAAAACTGAAAATGTTTCTAATAATTCCACACAAGAAGCACAGATAATGTAAATCCTGTCATCGTCTGTGAGATCTAATATAAATTGTTAGAGGTCAACGTAAAATATTTTGTCTTTTGTAAATAGCGTTTTTGAATTAAAAAGGACAGACATTCTTTTTGTCTTAATGATAACTTCTTTGGTTTTCAAACATTTGTATATAAGGTTAATCCCAAGTGCCACTGCCAAATTTACAAAAGCGATTTGACAAGATGTGTACTGATAGACTCTTTGCGGGTTTGAGGTGAGTTTATGGATAGTCCTTTAATGAGACTCACTGTCTCTGCAAAGGTTTCATTTTTGGTTGTTGTGGTGTGTTTCCTAACAGGACCTGATCTTTGACATTACTTTGGCTCTCACTTGAGATGAGACCTTGTAAAAAAAAAAAAAAAGACATGTTGGGACGCACCTTTCACCTCTCATAAACGCACTATGTGCTTGGCAGACTTCACAAAACTGAGTGGTTTTGTATATGACAATTTTGATGCTCCATTTAAAAGTGCAAACTGAAATTTTTCAAAATATTGTCTGTAATAATGTATTTTTCGAAGGTTGACCTGAATTGGCGGCGCTTTGGTAGATGCGAATTCTTTCAAGTTGTTGTTCACTACAGTTACCTGTTGTTTTCGCCTTTATATTTATTCAGTTTATATCTTTTCTTATTTTTATTCACTTTATTTCTCTGTTTTCATTCTGCTCAATTTAATTAACTGAAGTGCGGGTTTATTGAATCTTGGAAAAAAGAGCCGTGCGTCACAGCAGCAGGTTTTATATATATGAGAAATTGTGTGTGTGTGTGTGTGTGTGTGAGAGAGAGAGAGAGAGAGAGAGAGTGTGT